TGGGCAGCGCAGCGCGTCCCCACGTCCACCCCGCGCGGCGCACACGAGCCCGGCCGAGGCCCGCAGCCGCGCCATAACGCTCCGCCCCAGTCGACGTCCCCGGGCGCTCACGCTACCGAGTTTCCGCAGTTGGCATTTTCAGGCAAGACCACACACCTTCCCGCGTGATCAGTTTGCGGCTGCTGCGACTCTCTCCTCGTCGTGCCTCCTCCTTACACGAACGCCCTCGCGTTCGGGTTCTCCTCCTCCCCGCCCTCATTCTGTGCATGGGGCCCTTCCCCGCCCTTTCCCGGGCCGCTCCGGGACTCGCCGGCTGCGGCGCTCACGCTGCGCCCGGGGACACGCCTGGGGACACGCCACGCTGAACGGCGAGCACGCTTGCGCTCCCCGCCCGCCGGCCCGCACGCCGTGGAAACGCGCGTCACCGTGACAGCACGTCACCGGCACAAAGGCCGGCAGATACAGAAAAGCGCGAGGAGAGCCTTGTGGGCGCGCAGGCGCCGCCCACGAGGAGACCGGACCTGGGGGCTGACGGGCTGAAGGCGGCGCCACGCCAGAGACGGTGTCCGTGCGTCCAGCCAGCCTGTGAGAAAACGCGCTCGAACCCCGTCGGACACGAGCGCCTGCAAGACAAACACACGGGACTCCGCGCCGAAAGGGCCAACGGCCGGCGAGCACGCGCACGCAGCGGCTCCCGTGGCCGCCTGACGCCGGAGCAGCGACTCCGCGGCGCCTGCGTCTCTCCCCCTCGCCTTGTCGGTCCGCACCGTCTTCGTGGATCCGCGGCCCCTCCTGTCCCCTAGTCCAACCTTACCTGCACGTCCCAAACTGAGTGGAAAGTGGGCTTTTACTGTCCTTTCCCATAAACTTGAGACAAAACCTCCGACGCTTTGCTTCCTAATTAGCCTGGAATTCAAATAGTTTGAACTTTTTCTATGGCTGTTGATAAAAACTTACATTCCTCTCTAATCGTATTACCATATGAGAAGATGTGTATGTGTGTAAATACACACATAGACGCCATCAGACACTTCATTTTAGGGACATAAATCTGGGGTTGGATCCCATGCTGATGTGAGATCCATTCAAATTTTTAAGTAACAAAATGTGCAAACAAGTATTTTCTAGACTTTACTGGTAATAAAAAGAAATGCCACATCGCAGCAGAAGCAAGACATCTAGGTGATTCCTTTTCCACAAAAAACCTATTTTAATGTACAGATGAGCCCTTCAAATTTAGAACTTCCAGATGATCCTGCCATTGGTAAATGGTGGTTCCTGAAATAAAGTCTACAAGTAGATATCATATGTACCTTGGAGTGATCAAAAGTATGGATTTTTTCTTCTGATCCAGATGTGCTTATTTGAAAAGCAGCTCCCGACAGCTCCCAAAGTGGACCACTGTTGCTGCCCCGGGCCCCGCGTTGAGAACCCGTGGCCCAGCAACGGTCACACTGTGCGGTTCATCGCCGCCTACGGCTCATGTCACAGACGAACATCAGGTACCCTCATGTTCACGCCGGGAAAGCAGGACACACGGAGAGTACGTGACCGGTATGGACTTCGGGCGTCAACACCGACGTTCTAATCGGGTTTTTCTGACCCTAAGCTTGTGTGTTGTTCTGTGAGGCCGCCTATGACCTCGACTGTCAACAGAGGACTCGGGGCCTCTTCGGACTCGCTGCCCTTCCAGCGACGACTCAGCACCAGCCTCACCGCTCCACCGATCTCCCTGCAGGACATGTTCACGTGGAACGCTCTCGTGAATAGCACTGAGGGCGTCCTGGGACTCAGGACCCTCCTTGCATCTGCCGTTCGGCTTAGCGACCAAGGGGACCCACAAGGGCCACAGCTCTCTGGCACCTGTCATGTCTGATCATCACACAGGGAGGTTAACGAGGACGGCACAGGCTCACCGCACACGGACGTGTCATCCTGTCCACCTCTGAAGACACAACTATCACCGTCCCTGCTCCGCAGACGAGGACACCAGGGCACACAGCTGCTCACGTCACAGTCCGAGCTACTCGCCGGCACGCGGTGGCTGCCCTTACCGGAGCCGCGCCCCGCTCGGCGTGCTCCCATCACTGTCATCTGTGCACGTATGTGGGTGCCGAAGACTCGATGCCACACTGGCCAGTGGTATAGCCAGCATGGACCCCTGCTGGCAGTTTCCGGTGAGGCTAAGCCCATGCCGGCCCACAGACCCACAGCCTCGCTCCTCCATGTCAGCCCAAGAGAAACGCAGTGTCCACACAAAGACCTGCAAAAAACTCCTCAGACAGGTGAACCGACAACTACTTTATGCCCCGTATATAAACCGTGTGCTAATAAAAAATGTAATTCTTGGAGGCATATGTTGGTCACACACCCCCTGAATCTCTCTAGATCCCAAACCACGGAGAGAAAGCAGGAGCAAACATCTCAGCACATCTGTGGGCGTCTCCCCAGGGAAAACCACCCTGGAAAGGGGTGCTGCACCCCGAGAAGCCCATGGGCGGGGAAGTGACCACCGGTGCTTGAGGAGAGCCCCAGCTGTACCGCACTCAGGAAGCAGGAAAGGGGCCAGCGTTTGAGGTGCGTGACATCGAGGTGACCTGTGATGTGGGGGAGATGAGTAGGACGGGTGCAGGAAGAAGCAAACATGCAGAGAAGCATGAGGGCCAGAAGCCATGAGAGCAAAGGATTCCAAGAGATGAGAAACAGCGGGAAAGAGGCCGGGAGGTGAGGGAGTTGGGCTGGTGGTGCTAACGTTCCAGGAACCAGCTTGAGTACAATGTGGGACATAAATCTAATTACAGAAGTAGGTCAAGTACATGCTGATGGCTCCTGTTCACATAGTTAGACTCCAGGGAACATGCATCCAGGTTGATGGAGAACAGCAGAGACCACAGGGCAGGGAGAGAGAGGCTCTGGGCAGAGCGGCCCCCACGCGGCAGGAGGGGACGGCTGGAGGGGCCAGGCAGAGAGGGAGATGCTTCTCCCTCCCACCCCAGGAAGGCCAGAGCAGCGGGAAGCGGACAGGTGCGGGCGGGCTCTGATGCGCGCAGGCTCTGAAGGTGGCCTCTTTTCAGAGCAGCGTCTGGAAAAGTCCTTCCTGTGACTCCTTCTGTTTTTACCAAATTTTGAGTGGGGATTAGCACTGCCTTGCATTGGCGAGGATCTCACAATGCTCATAAAATGATGCTGTGATATCAGGAAGGACATCTAGATAAGGGTCATTTAAGAAACAGCCTTTCATTTTCTATATGAAAATGCTTTCAGGTGTGGGAGAAAAGATGGCGGAGGAGTAGGGGACCCTATTGCAACCAGTCCCAGAATTGAGCTGGATATCTACCAGACCACTCTAAACACCCACGAAATCAGCCTGAGATGTGATCTGGATCTCTACAAACAGAATATCGTGGGCAGTTGGTTTCGAGGTATGAGGCAGGGAGCTGTGATTCCGTGGGCAGATATGGGAGGATAAACGGCAGCGGGAGGGAGCCTGACTGTGGGAATCCTACACCACCGGTGAGCGACAGCCTCGTGAGCTGCAGACGGGGCACAGACTCGCAGAACGGTAGCGGCGGGGAAAGGACCTTAGGGCAGCCCCTGGGACAGAAACCCGGAGCGGTGGGCTCATGCGTGTGAACTGGGAGTGGCTGGCAGTTTTAGAAGCACAAAGGGCAGAGATGTGCCCCGACCTGGAGGCAGGACTGGGGGCGCTGCAGAGGGGCACACAACCCAGGATGCCGCAGTTTATAGCATCACAGACAGAAACAGAGACGGTGTGGCCTGGAGAGCTCACTAAAGAACAGACTGAGGTCTCTCTGCTCTGAGGAAGAGGGTTGGAAACGGTCTCTTCTGCTCTGACTCATGGAAGAGATGTGGAAAGCTGCCCAGGAAAGCCGCCAGAGAACAAAAGCCCCCCCAAAACTGGTTCCCACTGAGCCCATCCCCCACCACAGGGGGGCAGGGCAACTCCGCCCAAACAGGGTTGCCTGAGTAACAGTGCGGCAGGCCCCTCCCCCAGAAGACAGGCTGGGAAAACAAGAGGCCAGCAACCCTAAGGTCCCAAGAAAACAGGTGCATCTTGCTTGGGTTCTGGTCAATAATTTGGACTCTATACATTCCCTCAACCACCCATTAACAGAATGACTAGGAGGAGGAGCCACCAAAACAGAAAAGACTCAGAGATTATGACTTATGCTGCAGATTTACAAATGGATGCAGATATAACCAAGATGTCGGAGATGGAATTCAGGCTAGCAATTGTGAAGACAATAGCTAGCATGGAGAAATCAATTAATGGCAACATAGAGTCTCTAAAGGCAGAAATGAAAGCTGAATTGGCAGAACTTAAAAATGCTATCAATGAGATCCAATCCAATCTAGATAATCTAACAGCTAGGGTAAGTGAGGCAGAAGAACGAATAAGTGACCTGGAAGACAATTTAATAGATAAAAAGGGAAAAGAGGAGGCCAGGGAAAAACAACTCAGAATCCATGAAAATAGAATCAGAGAAATAAGTGACACCATGAAGCATTCCAAGGTCAGAATTATTGGAATCCCGGAGGGAGTGTAGAGAGAGAGAGGACTAGAAGATATATTTGAGCAAACTGTAGCTGAGAACTCCCCTAATCTGGGGAATGAAACAAACATTCGTGTCCTAAAGGCAGAGAGGACCCCTCCCAAGATCAAGGAAAACAGGCCAACACCAAAGCATGTAATAGTAAAACTTGCAAATCTTAGAACCAAGGAAACCATCTTAAGGGCAGTTAGGGGGGAAGAGATTCCTTCCGTACAGAAGGAGGAACATCAGGATAACGTCAGACCTATCCACAGAGACCTGGCAAGGCAGAAAGGCCTGGCAAGACATATTCAGGGTACTAAATGAGAAGAACATGCAACCAAGAATACTTTATCCAGCAAGGCTGTCATTTAGAATGGATGGAGAGATGCAGAGCTTCCACGACCGGCAGAAACTGAAAGAATATGTGACCACTAAGCCGGCCCTGCAAGAAATATTA